GACTTTAATGAAAAGGAAAATACTATTGTTTTTCAAGACACTAATGTTTTAGTGAGGATGTTCTTCGATAATTTTTTATACAAAAGCACTGCTAGTTGTAATCAAGTGCAGCTAGCACTCGGCTTGTGATTGGCTTATTTCTTAAAAGAAAAAAGAAAAAAAGAAAAAAAAGCCAATTACTGGCAAAAAATTAGGTGCACTCCACTGTAGCTAGCACCTTCCTTTATACCATGTGAAATAATAGGGAATGAGGGATTGCATATTAATTAATTCATGTGTCTTCTAAGTAAGAAAGTTGCTCAATGTTTTTAAAGAACTATGAATCAAAGGTTACTTTTAGAAGATATAATCTAACTTTTTAAGATAGATGATGCCCTAAACATAGGACTATTAAATGAAGAGAGTCTAAAACATGTCCCATTTAATAGGAGCAAAAGACAAGGTTAAAGATTTATCAAAAGTGCCATCATGTTCTAAATTAACTTGTTAGGAAAATGCCGCTCTACCTTAACTGAAAAAGATTGGGACTTTGGGTTCAACTTGATTTGATGCTGATTGTTGTTCGGTAACGTATACGTTAAGTCACATAACCAAAATGATGAAACAATTTAAATCTATAACCAAAACGTTGGATCAATGGATTCACCATACTCATTAGTCCCATAATCTAGACATCTAAAATTTAAATATCACAGTTTATTCTTAGTTTGGTTCACTGTCTTCTACTTACCATTTCCCCAATCGTATAACTTTAATGTTTCAACTTTTAACACAACATAAATATCACTATCACATTAGAAAGATTTCTATACGATATTAGAAACATTTGACATTGACATGAAAAGTTGGAAACCTCTTTTACATAATGATATTGTTACAGTTATAGTGTTATATAGAATTATAATTTTATAATCTTACGTGATATTAAGTTAAATATAATGTAATATTAAATGAATAGATACATATAATATTATAAGTGAATTTTTAAATAAAAAATTAATTATATAATAACACAACATATTATAAATTTATAATACCAAACAACATTATAATTAAAGTATTTTCGTTTACATAACGTAAATATTATCTGTAGTATGACAGTATACCTTTGCAATATTAAGAGAATCTTTCCAACAAATTTACCCCCCCCCCCCCCCCCAAATAAAAGATTATTACTATTTAAACGAGTAGTACGTCATTGGTCACAATTAATGATAATAATACGTGATATTAATATTACTGGAAAGATTATTAACATTTTCCCAACAACTAGTTGACTTAAACTGAATCTGTTTTTGTAAATGATATAGTTACATTAACAAGTAACATTATAAATTTATAGTCATTAAGTATTATTATTATTTTTATTTTGAGATGTATATATCATATTGTATATATTTATGGTTACTCATAATTTTTTTTTTTTGGATCGTTGTTTACACAATGAAAATCAATTTTTTTATTTTTAACCCACTTTATTGATGTGTTATATAATTTAAGTTCAAAAATTTTTACTTTAAAAAAATTATCGCTGAGTTACTTAGTTGATAATTATTAATAATTATAAATTTATAATTTTATATATTGGGTGATAACTATGTCATTACCAATAAAATTATATTTTGAGTCACCTAATATACACGAGAAAAAGATGAGAGAGGGTTTATGTACACGCGCTGGAAAGGGCAGCTAAGCTGCGGTGTCGTTGGTGGAAGGAAAAAAATAAGCAATTGTTTTATGTTCACTGGGAGGTTCGGAGACAGGTTCGGCTGTGGGGAAGGAGTGATTCAAAGAAAAGAGTGAAGAGTATAAAAGCACAGTTAGCTTTCTGCTTTGTATAGAAAAGAAGCAAAAGAGGAAAGCAAAAGGGAATGGACAATGTGATTGTGCTGTAGAAGAACAATTCATTCGCTGTATATCACAACCATCTCTCAAACCCCCCCTCCCCCACCGGAATTCATCTCCTCTGCCGTCTCTGTCTCTGTCTCTCTCTCTTTCTAGTGAGATCTCTGTTTTTTGATGGTGGAGCTGTGAGATTCTGTGTTTTGAGGAGTTTCCGGTGAGAGAAATGGCGGCAGAGGGAGCGTTGTCGTTTTCAGTGGCGTCGCTGGTGGAGGATGTACTGCAACAGCACGGCAATCGGTTGAGAGATCTTGACTTGGAGTCTAGGAAAGCTGAGGAAGCTGGTACTCCTTTTTCATCTTGCTCTTTGATTTCTCCGAACAATGTCTAACTAAAATTCCTCATTTCTCAGCTGAATTCTACATTAATATGCTTATTTTCTTCCCTTAGAACCTCATTTTTTCTTTCTTTTTGTAATTTTGATATCTATGGAGTTTTGGGAATTGCTTTTTTTTTTTTTTCTTTTTTTTTTGGGTATTTTGTGATCATCGGTTGGATGAGATTTTTTAGCTATAAAGATGATTTTGTTTGGTAGCATCGCGGCGGTATGAAGCTGCTGGGTGGCTGAGAAAGACGGTTGGGGTTGTAGCAGCTAAAGATTTGCCGGCAGAACCATCGGAAGAAGAATTCAGGCTTGGACTGAGAAGTGGAATTATTCTTTGCAATGTTCTCAATAAGATTCAACCTGGAGCTGTGCCCAAGGTGAATTTCTTTATTTCAAGTTGAACTTTTTTTTTTTTTTTTTTTTTCAAACAAGGATTTTGAGGTACGGGGTATGTAATTGACTGGTTGGGTTTATGTTAGGTGGTGGAGAGTCCATGTGATGCTACTCTTATCCCAGATGGAGCTGCATTGTCTGCATTTCAGTACTTTGAAAATGTGAGGAATTTCCTTGTTGCTATACAAGAGATGGGGCTTCCTACTTTTGAGGCATCAGATCTTGAACAAGTATGTATGTTAAACAATTATACAGAGAAAACAAATGGCATCATCAATGAGTGATCTTTGTTTTGTTGCATCTACTTTTAAGAGTTCTTTCTTTTTGGGCTTCTGTATAATTTTACTCTGATTAAATTTCAGGGAGGGAAATCTGCAAGGATTGTGAATTGTGTTCTTGCAATGAAGTCATATAATGAATGGAAGAAGACGGGCGGAAATGGGGTATGGAAGTTTGGTGGAAATGTAAAACCTTCTACTACTACTTTGGGAAAGTCCTTTGTAAGAAAAAATTCAGAGCCATTCACAAACTCTTTGTCAAGGACCTCATCAATGAATGAGAAATTGCTGAATGGCCAGTCCTTTGAACTTGATTCTAATAAAATGGTTGGTAAGCTTGACTGTTTAAATTTTTTCCCCTCTTATTTAAGCTCTAGTTCTATTATGAGAAATAACTTTGTAAGCATTCTTAAATGCAGTCTGGTTCCGGTTCATTGAGTATGCTGGTTCGTGCTGTTCTTTTGGATAAAAAACCTGAAGAAGTTCCTATGGTAAGCTTTGTACTCTTAATGACGCCAATTAGTATATCAAAACTAATTAAGGACAATTTTCTTATAACGCTGGTTAGTAGAAAAACTGTCCTTACTGGCCTCCACATGTATCAGTTATGCACTATTCACGTAAACATACTGTGAATGTCCACAGGCAATTTTCTTATATTGCTGTCTAAATAAAATTTAATACTTAGGTTCCTTCTCTTCTATTGATACTTGAAGCTTTAAGTTTGCCTCATTGTTTTGAGTTCACTGTCCATTTATATGACTCATCCACTTATTGTAAAGGATGTTGTCTGGAGGTTCTTTTTTAAACTTTTTGCATTTTCTGGTATTGCCATAGCTGCCATTAAATTTTTTCTGTTACCAGTGCTCCTAAATCTAATATTGCTGTTATTTGGTCTATCTTTGGCTCATAATAGTTGGTGGAGTCTGTGCTAAGTCGAGTGGTGGAGGAATTTGAGCATCGCATTGCAAGCCAATGTGAAATGGTATGTTAGTTTCAAACATTCAAAAGTTTTCATTTTAAAATTTTGGGGAATGAAAAAGCAACCATTCATTCTTATTGATCTTAATAGATTCTTTGTTTTTTCTTTCCTCCCCTTTAACCTGAAGATGAAAACAATGTCAAAGGACACTGTTACTTCTAATGGCAACAAATCCTTTTTGAGATCTTCATCTGGAGATAGTAAGGTATTCTCTGAACTTTACATACTGAATAGGTTTGTAAATGGAACTTATTCAGTGTCCAAACTCATAATGTTCATGGTAGGATCTAAGAATTCCTTTCTATTACTGATGTCTTAGACTGAAGAAAAGAACTCCAAAGTGGCCAAGAAAGAGGATTGCTTCCCACACTACATTTCAGAAGAGGAATTAAGAAGTCAGACTCTGAAGCAACAAATGATTTTTGATCAACAACAGAGACATATTGAGGTTAGGAACTAATTGTCTGCATTCTACTCTTAAAATTTCTTAGTTACTCTTATGCTTATTATTATATTTATGCAGGAACTAAAGCATGACATGAACACCACAAAAGCTGGCATGCAATTCATACAAATGAAATTTCATGAAGATTTCAACAATCTTGGTAGAGATGCTGGTTTTTCTTTAATTGAAATCATCATTAATTCCAGTTCTTTGGAAGTAGGAATTAAATTCAAAACTACTTCTGTCAGAACTTAAATTTATGTATTTCTTTACAGGTATGCACATTCATGGTCTAGCACATGCTGCTTCTGGTTATCACAAAGTCCTAGAAGAGAATCGCAAATTGTACAATCAGGTGCAGGACCTTAAAGGTAAATTAGATCAAAGTCTATATATTATGTTTATCTCTATATTATGTCTTACAGTAAATTAAAAGGAACTATCTACTTTAATTGGGCAGGAAGCATCCGGGTCTACTGTCGAGTGAGGCCATTCCTGTCTGGACAATCAAACTGTCTGAGCACAGTTGACCATATAGAAGAAGGGAACATCGCTATTAACACCCCATCAAAGTATGGAAAAGGGCAGAGGTCCTTCACCTTCAATAAAGTCTTTGGTCCATCAGCAACTCAAGGTTACTACAGTTGGAGTTTAGTTGTTTTATCAATAATATTGCTGCCATGGCCACCCTAACATTATTTTACATGGTCATATCCAATTGTATTGCAGCGGAGGTCTTTTCTGATATGCAGCCATTGATTCGATCAGTTCTTGATGGGTACAATGTTTGCATATTTGCTTATGGTCAGACTGGATCAGGGAAAACTTTCACTATGGTAAGATATGCATAGATTATTGTTAAATAGACAAATAATATGTAGACAAATTTCTGTTTGACAGAATTTTTTAATCTTCTATGTGGTTTGCCTTCTCAGAGTGGACCAAAAGACCTGACTGAGAAAAATCAAGGTGTTAATTACAGAGCATTAGGTGATTTATTTCTTCTAGCAGAACAAAGGAGGGATATTTTTCACTATGATGTCACTGTTCAAATGATCGAGATTTATAATGAGCAAGTCAGAGACCTCCTTGTTGCAGATGGAAGTAACAAAAGATATCCTTTACTTACACTTTTGGGTTTTTCCTTTTTCTAACATTGTTATGAAATAGCCCTTCATTATTTAAAATCCATAAAAAATAGTTGTCAAATTGAACGCAGAACAAAGATAGTTATATAGCCTTTCTTTTGCCAAATATATATTTAGCATTTGATTTCATAGAACTCAATAAATTGGATAATGCCTTGAGAATGAAATGCTTAAGACTTCAAGTTGATTTGAAGGTCAAAATGAAATTCCTAGCCATTTTCTTACATAAGTACCAAATTATACTTGTCTGGTTTCCCTTGATCTATCCTTAACCTTTGATACATTAGAAATTCGAAATAGTTCTCAGACAGGTCTTAATGTCCCTGATGCTAACATTGTCCCTGTTTCATCAACATATGATGTTATTGATCTGATGAACCTTGGGCAAAGGAATCGTGCTGTTGGTGCAACTGCTCTCAATGACCGCAGTAGCCGCTCTCATAGGTAACTTCTTATTTATTTTTGCTTCTAATGAATGATATAGTAGCACTTCTTCTTGGTATTCTAAATTATGTTTTCATCAATTTGCAGTTGCTTGACTGTTCATGTTCAAGGAAGAGATTTGACATCAGGAACTATTCTTCGTGGCTGTATGCATCTTGTTGATCTGGCAGGAAGTGAAAGAGTTGACAAGTCTGAGGTGACAGGAGATCGACTAAAAGAGGCACAGCACATAAACAAATCGCTCTCAGCTTTAGGAGATGTGATTGCTTCCCTCGCTCAAAAGAATCCACATGTACCTTATAGAAACAGCAAGCTCACACAACTGCTTCAAGACTCACTTGGTAAGCCTACAAGGTTAAAGTAGTTGATGGGAACTAAATTTTCTGAATTCTCTTTAGTTTCGCTGGGCTCTAATTATGAAGTTGGATCTAAAAATGTTTTCAGGAGGGCAAGCCAAAACACTAATGTTTGTTCACATTAGCCCTGAGCTCAATGCCGTAGGTGAAACAATAAGCACTCTGAAATTTGCAGAGCGGGTGGCCACTGTTGAACTTGGTGCTGCCAAAGTGAACAAAGATAGTGCAGATGTTAAAGAGCTTAAAGAACAAGTTAGTAAACCTCAGTTACCTGTAACCTTGCAAATAGAGTTTTCTCTGCATTTTTTTAACTAACATGTTAAAATCATGTCAGGTTGCTAGCCTCAAGGCTGCCCTGGCAAGGAAAGAGGGAGAGACCGAGCAAAGTCAACAATCTGTATCTGGCAGTGCAGAAAGATATAGAACCAAAACTAGTGACTTGTCACCTTTTAATTCTATTCAGCGAGTTGGAAATATGGTAGGTGGAAGGCAACCCATGGGTGATGTAGCCAACATAGAGGTAATTCTTGCTTTCCCATCGTTAGCCGAATGTTTTGCTGCTCTCCTTGGCTTTTGGGGGATATCTTGAATTCCCCATTTGATCATGTTAAGGAATATGATGCCAAAATTTTTACATAACTTATTCGATATTCTGGTTGCAGGTCTGCACCAACTCTGCGTTGAGGCAAAAGAGGCAAAGCTTTGATCTTGATGAGCTGTTAGTGAATTCGCCTCCCTGGCCTCCTGTTATCAGCCCTGACCAGAAGTACCGGGATGACGAGAAGGAAATGGGCTCTGGTGAGTGGGTGGATAAGGTCATGGTGAACAAGCAGGATGTTGTAAACAGGGTTGAAAATCCTATGGCATGTTGGGAAGCAGAAAATGGAAATCTGCAAGATGTTGTCTACCAGAGATATCTCCAGGATTCTTCCAAAACCTACCAAGACCAATCATACAATATGTTCATGGGTGGAAACCGGTTCAACATGGCTAGTGCTGATGATATGGATGACCTTGATGCAGCTACCAGTGACTCATCTGAGCCTGATTTGCTTTGGCAATTCAATCAGTCCAAACTTAGCAGCTTAGCCAATGTGATGGAGACAAAGGCCAAGAAACCTAATTCAAGACCAGAAAGGACACCAGAATTAAGGTAAGCAACTGGTTTAAATATCCTTCCATGTTAAACACCGTCCATCATGATTCCAACTTGTTACTAAAAATAATCTCTTATAACTTCTGCAGCAAAAATTTAACTCCAATGCTAGGCCCTTCACCATCAAGAAAACTGAAAAATGGAGTTGGCACTTCCCTCCATAGAAATGGAAGGCAACCAGCTCCTGCTGAAGGGAAACGCAAAACTGGGAACAGAAAATAACATGGTTATGAAGTTAAAGCCACGTCAATTGAGTGATTTTTGATTATTTTTTATTCTTTGAAGTCTTCTCTTGTGAATTTGTTAGAGAAAGATGTGTTAAATATACTGTCAATTTTTTCATTGTAATTTTTGTGGTATAGATAAAATTCAGCAATAATTCCAGTTGCTTCTCACTGTCCACGGAAGAGCTTCCTGCCTGCTTGGTTTTTTTTGTGACGGGCTTTTTGTATAAAGACTTTGTATTTTCCATTATTCTTCAATGTCAAGAGACTGTAATCTTTTATTTTTTTTCCATTATATTTTCCAGAGTATAATGCAAAATCACAACCATTGGATAGGGCTTGCCTTTCCCTACAATCGAGGGAGCCTCATTTGATGACAATAGTTTAGAACTATAAAACGCTTTTATATTTTAATATTCTTCTAGTGTTCGATAAAAAAAAAGAAAAAAAAAAAGAAAAAAAAAAAACGTTCTTCTAGTTGAAACGGGTATGGACCGTTGCTGCATTTTCCCACCATAGTTGATTGAGGGGCTTATCTTACTAGAAAACTTTTGTATTTATTTTTATGAACTTAGGCAATTTTTGGGATGAAAAATTAATAATACTTAAGTTTAAAATTCAAGATTTCATATTTTAACACCTTTCTCTTAAAGTGATATAACTATTAATTAGTGTTGAACATCTTAGGAGAAGACTTTGATTGCTGAAAATCTAGAAGTTGGGCAAGAACCCTTTCATACTCAACGGTCATTCAATTCAGCAATGGAGTGCGCCGTGAGCCAACCACCAAGGACTGGACTAAAAGACCCAGATAATTCTACCCCCACTCTTCACTCAATCCTTTTTCCTATAAATATATACCAAATATTTCATTGCCCCATCACACTCCACTAAGCCTAAGAGATTTAATCTCACTTCTTCTTCATACACAAATTTCATCAATTTCTCCTAATTAACAGGCAGAAACATGGGCGTCACCACCGTTACTGAGGAGATCACCACCTCCATCCCTCCATCCAGGATGTTCAAGGCTTTGATCCTAGACTCCCACATCCTCGTCCCCAAGCTCATGCCTCAGGCCTTCAAGAGCATTGAGTTTGTCCAGGGTGAGGGAGGTGTTGGCACCATCAAGCAGACCAACTTTGCCGAAGGTAAACAATGGTTCATATCAATCAAATTTGTTAACTTTCTATTTTTTTGCTCCCAAGTATACACAAGGGATTCAAATTGGATTCGTTTGATTTAACTGTTTGAAACATCTAATAATTGATAGTCGATAATCACTAAACTAATGTCTCACTGATAATTTTTTGATTTAAATATTAGGAGGTCACTACAAGTATATGAAACACAAAATTGAAGCCCTTGATGTGGATAACTGCTATTGCAAGTACTCTTTGATTGAAGGTGATATGTTGGGTGATTCCTTGGAATCAATTACTTATGAGGTTAAGTTTGAGGCAGCTGGTGCAGGAAGTATGTGCAAGATGACTAGCCACTACCACACCAAGGGTGACCTTGCCCTTAAGGAAGAGGAGATCAAGGCTGGCAAAGACAAGGCCTCCGGGATGTACAAGCTTGTGGAGGAATACCTCGTTGCCAACCCTGATGTTTATGGTTAAATTAATCATCCATGGCTTCTTATCAAGGTGTGATCTATATGTGTGGTAAAATTGCATACTTGTAATAAGGTCTCTCCAGCTATACATGACTACCGGGAGAACTTTTGATAAGAGAACATTTTTTTCCTTTTATTTGTGTATTGAAATATTAAGATATGATAAAGAGTTTGGGTGTTTTATATAGTTGTGTGTTTATCTTCATTCTTCATCATATACATGAAATACTAGAGAATGACTTATTCACCCTCTAAATAACACAATTGCTCATATATCGTAATTCACCCATTAAAATATAATAGTGGGCCTTGATTTTCTTATCCCTCACTTATCCTACACAACCCAATGACCCATCCCTTTTGGCATCCCCGATTCCACCGCCACCCTTAGCTTTTTGCACCTCACCTCCACGGATACCCTTATCCATTTATAGTTTTTTTTTTTTTGATCGGCAAAATGAATATTATTAGAAATAAAATATGAGTACAAGGGGTACTCCACCCGTTACATCATTTTACATAATACCCTTCAATCGCTGTGCAAAAACAGTCAAAATTCCTTTTCATTTACATGCTTCCCTGGGGTTCACAAGCCATAATTCCTTAGCCAAATCTGTATTGTGCTTGGCCCTAATCCAATTAAGTGAACGCAGCTTAATAAAGTCCACCACCATAGCTGGAGTGTCATTACCTTCTTTGAAAATTAGTTGATTTCTCCACAACCAAATGGACCAAATAATTGTAAACCATATCACATACCAAATTTCCTTCACTTTCTTGTTTTGTGCCATACCCATGTGTTGTTGCAGATGCTTCCAGCCTTCACTCGTAAAGACAGCCTGTAATCCCCACCACGCGTAAGCTGCATGCCAGATTGCCCAAGTTGCATCACAAGTGAAGAATAAATGGCTGACTGTTTCAGTTTGTTTGCCACAGAAGATGCATGCAAAATCAGCATTTGATCCATCGACTCCTCTTTTTAACAGGTTATCTCCAGTGGGGATTCTGTTTTGCATAACTTTCCATACAAATGCAGAGACTTTAAAAGGCACCATCTTATTCCATAACATACTAAACCTTCTTGCGTCTGTCTCTCTATTGCTGCTTTTTAATAGGATGTATGCAAATTTTGTTGAGTACGTTCCCTTTGAATCATGCTTCCACCTCCAGGAGTCACGTTGTCCTTATTCCAGCTTGCTCCCATTCGGTAGCTTGTTAAGATCCTATACAAGTGTATCTTCACATCCTAACAATTCCTGACTCCAACTCCATTTCCAAATCCATTCTCCATTTCTCCATTCACCCATATTTTTAACTAAAGCATCCTTATCTTCTGCCAATCTAAATAATCTATTGAATTTCTCCCTAAAAGGCACATCCCCACACCATTTCTCATTCCAAAACAAGGTATCATTCCCCTCCCCCACTGTTTTTACTACTCCCTTATACACCCATCCCTCATTACTTCCTCTTTCTTCATCTAATTTCCACAATGCCTTCCACCAATATGAGCTATTCATTTTTACCTCCCTCCCCTCCCAATCCCTTCTCCTATGAAACCCATATTTGGCCTCAACTACCCTGTTCCATAGAGCTTCTTTCTCCACCACCAATCTCCATCGCCACTTTCCTAAGAGCGCCATGTTAAATCGATCCAAGTCCTTAACACCTAATCCCCCATTCTTCCTACTATTGCATACTTTCTCCCAACTTACCCAAGCAATCTTCCTATCCCCCCCTTTACCCCCCCCATAAGAATGATCTTTGAATTGAGGAAAGAAGTTTAATAACCTGTTTAGGGGCTCTCATAGTAGAGAAGAAATAGACTGGGATACTTGATAAGACAGCATTCAATAGAACGATTCTACCACCGAAGGAAAGCGATTCACATTTCCAATTTGACAATTTACGTCTCAAGCAGTCTACAACAGGTGTCCAGGCTGATAAGTTTCTCGAGTTGGCACCGACTGGGATTCCGAGGTATTTGAAAGGGATAGTACCCTCCACACAATTAAGAGATTCGGCCCATTCATTGATCTCCTCACTCTTCACATTGATACCATATAGGGCACTTTTGAAGAAATTCACCTTGAGTCTTGAAACCAGTTCAAAAGTATGAAGAATCCCCTTGATTGTCTTTATATTCTCATCTGATGCCTCACAAAAGAATATAGAGTCGTCAGCAAATTGTAAGTGTGTGACCTCCATTCCTTCTGTTCCCACCGCTACTCCACTGTACATATCTTCCTCTTTTGCTTTGAGAATAAGCCCATTAAGTGCTTCAACAACCAGAAGAAATAAGAATGGGGCTAATGGATCACCTTGTCGCAGTCCCTTCTTCATACTGAATTCCTCTGTGGGGCTACCATTCACCAAAACTGATACCAATGAAGTAGATAAGCATTCCTTGATCCACCTTATCCATTTCAAGCAGAATCCTAGCTTTTCCATCATCAAATCTAAAAAATTCCAATTGACACTATCATAAGCTTTTTCAAAGTCAGCTTTGAATATCAAGGTGGGCCTCTTTCTTTTCTTTGCTTCATGAATGACTTCATTAGCTATCACGATGCCATCAGCGATATGTCTCCTTCCTACAAATGCTGACTGATTCTGGCTAATGATAGACGCCATCACTTTCCTCAATCTGTTAGCAAGAAGCTTAGCTATCATTTTATACAAGCATCCAATCAGGGATATAGGCCTAAAATCCCCCAATCCCTGGGGGGATTCTTTCTTTGGGATTAAGACAATAAGAGACGAGTTGCTTCCTTTCACCAATTTCCCATTCACCCAAAATTCTTTGACAAAAGCCACTACATCCTGCTTTATAGTTGGCCATAATCTTTTAATGAAGTTGAAGTTGAATCCATCTGGTCCAGGGCTTTTACTTCCATTGTAGTTCTACATGGCCTCCTTTATTTCTTCCTCTGTAAACTGTGCAGTCAGCCAATTGTTCTCTTCTGAGCTCAGTTGTTTCAATTCATTAAACTCAAGGCTAGGTCTGCTCCACTCATCCTCTTGGAACTTTAGTTCATAGTACTCTTTGATGAATTTTTTCACCTCTGAGACTTCCCCAATCCAGACATTATTCTTCATAATCCCATCAATCCCGTTACTCTTTCTTCTCTTAGCTATACACCCATGGAAGAATTTACTGTTAGCATCTCCTTCTTGAAGCCATTTCTGTCTTGACTTTTGGAACAACAAGCTATCTTTCCTAGAACACCATTCCCAGAATTGTTGGAAGCAGGTTTTTCTCTACTCAATCTCACTACTTGATAACACTCCATTCTCGGCTTTATCATCAAGCTTCTTTATCTCATCTCTAATTTCCTCCGTTTTCCTATCAATGTGGCCAAATACCTCCTTATTCCACTTCTTCAAGTCATTCTTCAGCAATTTAAATTTCTCCTTCAGCTTGAATCCTTCCCATCCCTCCACTATATAGCTGCTCCATTTTTCCTGAACAAAAGAACTAAACTCCTTGAGCTCTAACCAACAATCAAGGCTTCTAAAGGGCTTTGGCCCCCAATCCATGCTGGAGCTGATTAGCACTATAGGACAATGATCAGAAATATCTCTCTTTAAACCTTTCTGAATGAGTTCTGGGAAATTAATAAGGAACTCTGTGGACACCAAGAATCTATCCAACCTGCTCGTTGCTGTTCCGTCAGACTTGTCCATTTATAGTTGCCTCACAATACAATTAATCACCCGTCTTAATTTCCATTCTTCATCAGTTCACCATTTCAAACCTTATTCCTCCTCAATCCTAAATTTTCTTCATCTTTCAACCTCCAAGCAAGTATACCCATATGAAAATGAGACTTCTCCTAACTAAACCCATAAATTAATGTTTGTTCTTGAACTTTTTTGACCAAAAAACGTGTTTTTCCCCTTGTTTCTAGAAAATGTATGATTTGCACTGATCAGGCTAAAATTTAGACTGAGAATTCTTAAGACATGAATCTTCAAAATGAATAGTCACTTTTTAATTTGGATCCCTGTAGCATCAGACTGAAGTTGAAAACGCAAGCCCTATTTTTGGGAGCACTTGCTTGGAATCACCTAAAGCACGATAAGTTTAGCCTTCTAGAAGAAGATGGGGAAGTTTGGGTTTTTGGTTCTTACAATTAGTGTATGTTTGGAAATAGGAATGGACCAATGTATTATGAATGGTTACATACCTAAGTTTTTCCACCTCTAATTCTAAATCCTCAAGTATTAACTTTTTAATGAGTGTGTTTTTAGAATGTGTTGAACTTGAGAGTATTCGTAATATTATATTAATGATTGATTAGCTAAATAGTAAATAATAAGATAAATCATGTTAAAGTTGTGAGTTCAAATTTCTCATATTTTATTTAAATATAAACAATTTTAACAAGTTATATTTGTAACTTAGAGCTAAAAATTCTTTTCCATTAATGAGGGCAATGCCTAATTTTAATCAAAGTAAATTATTTTTCAAGAGAAAGATAGACAAGATAAAAAAGAAACATCTCACACGTATTATCATATTATGGCGTGGCTGATGTATACAAGAGTGAGTGTGACCTTGAAATGAAGGATCCAATTATTATTTTTTTAGTGGGAAGAAATCAACTGTAAAAAAAGTTTAATGAATAGGTTAAAATATTAATTTGGGCCCTCAACTATTAGATTTTTATTGAAATTGTTCTCAATTTCAAAGAATACTAAAATTGTCCCTAAATTTTAATTTTTGATACTAAAATAATCTTTCCGTTAATAGAAGGGCCATGTGACTCATTATTTTGTCACAAAATCAATTCTTTTTTAAAAAGCTAATGACGTATAGAATTATATAGCTATATTTTATTATTGTGGTATATTTATATTTACATATCAAATTGATAAGTAATCAAAATTGAAAGATCAATTGGTATTTGTCATTAAAGTTTAAGGATTAAAATAGTACTTCTCTTTAAAGTTCAAGGATATTAAAAATTAAAGTTCAAGGATAATTTTAGTATTTTTTGAATTTGAATGATAATTTTGGTATGAATCTAAAAGTTGAGGAATGAAATTAGTATTTTAACCTAATTAATAGAAGATTTTAAGATTTTATGAAATGTTATTATATTCTCATATTTTTTTTCAAAATACTTTATAGGATTGACGAAAACGAGAATGTCTTAATAATTAAAATATTAAGATTGACAATTAAAAGGTTAAATACTTTTAAATTTTAATGAATTAATATATAAAAAAATTCATTAAAAGTATTTGAATAATTTTATATAAGTTTTATTATTTAAAGTGTCAATATATTTTAATTTTTTTTATATTTCATTTAGGTTATATTACTGCAAGGATATCTAGGTATATTTGGTTTAAGCAAACGGAACATAAAGTAGAAATGAATTTATTGACTAATCAAATTATAATATTTAAAAATATTAATTAATTAAAATCTCAACACCCTTCCCTTTGTCCCTCATTTCCCTCAAATTAAACATACATATATATGTTAGGAGGCCAAAAAAAGAAGAAGCATACATATATGTTAATTATGATGATTAAACTCAACTGACTATAAATTTATTCATCAAAAAATAGAACCGAATAGAAATTTCAAAGAACTCCATGCTACTGCCATTGGAAGAGATGGGCTGATTTTGAAAAATGAGCTCCAAGCAGGCCCAAATAGCTAGCCCAGCGCATTGACCATTTTGTCGTTCTATTCTTAAACCCTGGTTTTTGTTTTTTGGGCCCTAATAAACCCTATTTCGGTTTCGTAAAACCCCTAGCATTTCTATGTTCTAATTCTGATTTCTCCTATTTCTCCCCGACTCCATTGTTGCCCCTCGCAAGCTCCTGCGCTACGTAATTTCATCTTTTATTTCCCCTAATATAGACTCCGAGAGAACCCAAATCAATGGAGATAGATTCCGTGGAAAAGCTCAAGGGTCTTCAAATAACTGCCCTGGATGACGAAGAAGAAGAAGAGGAGGAAGAAAAAGCTCAAGAAATTGATATCTACGACGAGGAGGAGGAAGATGAAGAAGAGGAACAAGAACCCGTGATTCTAGGCTTCGTCGAAAAGCCAGAGCACAGTTGGTCCCTTCTCCGGCAACAATTCCCCAGCAAGGCTGGGGCTGTTCCGGTATTCAATTCACCAGCACAGCTACTTTCTCTGTTGTATTAAGCTTAGCAAGAATTGCGTCTTTTGAGTTGATATTACGTTGCCTTGGTTAAAGAAAGAAAGCATCTTTCTGATTCTGAGCTGCAATTGGGTCTTTATTCTAATGTAGGCTTGGTTGGACCCAGATAACTTACCATCCGGGAGATCTTGTGTTTGTGATTTATGTGGAGAGCCATTGCAGTTTCTGCTTCAGGTATTTTGTTTTTAATTGTCTTAAGAGAACCTATCTATATGCTAGAGGGGGTGGGGGTGGGGGGTGGGGGTGGGGTTTAGTTGATTATACCAATTCTTCATCTTGATTGAGTTCCTAGGTTTATGCACCATTAGTTGAGAAGGAGTCAGCTTTCCATCGAACAGTATTTGTGTTCATGTGCTTGTCAATGAATTGCCTTCTTCGAGATCAACATGAGCAATGGAAACGTCAACCTGAGAAATCATCTCGAAGGTATTGGTTGGATATGTGTTATCTTCCCTTTTATCAATTTTGGATTGTCTTCACATTATAGTTCTGACTTGTGTCATGGCTTCTCAAGTGTGAAAGTTTTTCGCTGCCAATTGCCTAATGTTAATCATTTCTACTCAAGCGAACCCCCAAAAGGCAATAAGACTGACAAACCATTGACCAGTGGAGGTAACTATTTCCACATTTTACTTGTTAATTGTTATAAATTTTATGTGTAATTCGGATCGGTTGTTAATTTTTATGTATATGGATATACCATAGCTGACTCTGCAGTCAAAGCATCTTTCCATTCAGCTTCTTGAAGTTGTTTTTCCATCTCAGACTATAAGTAAATCCTCTCATATGTACCAAAAAGAAATGAAGATGTCTCTTAGTTTAAGATAAGAGCTTGTATCTAAGAATTCATTCTTTAAAATAGAGGGGACTGGTAGCATGTACAAGTCAGTATTACAATCTGCTAATTTAGAAGTAGTTACCCCAGTCAACACAGAGCCTTGTGGTTTTACTGCATTAGACGCTTTCAGCTATATATATATATATATATTAAATTCCATAAGTCATAATAATGTTCTTTGTTTTTTACTTTTTTTACATGTTCTAGCACCACTATGTAATTGGTGTGGCACTTGGAAAGGAGATAAATTCTGCAGTAGTTGCAAAAGTGCACGATACTGCTCACAAAAACACCAGGTAACAAGGTTCATGAGGTGTTCCTTATTTTTGTATGTGTCGGAAATCCATGCCTAATTAGTCACTCACTTCTGTCCCTCTGCCCTGCACCTCTTACTTTCTCTCTTGTTCTTAATTCCAGGTCATGCACTGGCGTGCAGGTCATAAACCTCAGTGTCAGCAGCTGAGCCTTTCTCCCCAGCCACCTGAGTCTAATACCTATAATGATGGAACCACAGGAGTAAATGAAATGAAAGGCAAGTATTGATGGTCATCCTGGTTTTTAGCTGGAATTAGCTTATTTATATACTCGCAAAATAAATGCTTGATAAGCTTGCTTGTCAATAGAAGATTAGTTCTTAGTAGAACCTTAATGATAAAGGTGTTCTCTAATACTTGACATTTTAATTATGTTGACTTTGGATTCCAAAGATATAAAATTGTTATTTTGGTTAAATTTCTGAAAAGATGGTTCTGTCTTTATTTTCTTGAATTATTTGTTTCATTTGCTGATAAGCATTCATGTAACCCCTTGAGTTCAGAAAATGCATGTTATTTATATTTGAGAATTCTCTTACTGATTAAATGTCTGTGTTTTCAAACAGCAGTTGCCAGCAAAAGTCTATGGCCAGAATATGAGATGAAAAATGAGCATGAAAGTGAATATGAAACAGAGATGTCTGAAGATGATGCATGTGCCAATAATTCATTAGTGTCTAGGAGTGGGATGGATGACTCAATGAAGTCCCTTTTGGATAGCTTTGAGGTTGTTTGTTGCAACTGAAGGTTACAAATGCTGCTTTAACTCTAATCTAAAATACTTATTGCATCTGTCTGACAGGGAGATGGTGACAGAAAGAGTTGGGCTTCTTTCCAAGAGCGCATAGCCAAAGCCCCTGAGCAAGTCTTAAGGTGACGAACTGCTTCCTGGTGAAACTATAAATTTTCAGAATCCACAAGCATTTTCACTAAATAAGCAAACAAGTAAAGTTCACAAAGCTATGTATGCAATAACATCAATTCTTTTTTTTCTTTTTTTTTTCCTGTTTTCACTACAGGTATTGTAGGAGCCCTAAAGCTAGACCTTTATGGCCCATGTCAAGTGGTCGCCCATCTCAAACCAATATTCCAAATTGCAGCTATTGTGGTGGTCCTTTGTGTTTTGAATTTCAGGCATGCCATCATCTTACCTTGCCTGTCTTTTCTCCTGACAGAAGCTTACGTTTTTGTTTAGCATAGTTTTTGTTTCTTAATATATATGTTTATTTCACAGCTGACTTTTCATTTTTCACTCTACAATTCCGTATGACTCTCAAAATATGAGTCCCCTTTGAACTAGTTGGTTGATGTTTTCATCCATTTTGTGGTTCAGATCTTGCCTCAGCTGCTTTATTACTTTGGTGTAAAGAACGATGTGGGTTCTCTTGACTGGGCAACTATTGTGGTGTACACATGTGAAGCCTCTTGTGATGGTGTTGGTTACAAGGAGGAATTTTCCTGGGTACAGCTGAGTTCACCATCTCCTAATCTCCCTTGATCCCCTTGTTTCCGGCGCTTTTGTCCCTCTTATTTATTTTTTCTTTCTCGTCTTTGCTTCCTCAATCTTTTGGTTGGTGTGGGCTATCTTCTTAAAACACATGCTGATCTTCCTTGAACACAATGAAACAAATGTATACTAAAAAGCAATCCATCTATCTTATTATCTAAATTTCACATTTTGCTTGCTTTGATTTTGGATTTTAAGAGGAAAAATATCAACCTTTTGCCCCCTCAAACTTTTCTCACAAATGTGAAGGCTCCAATTAGTTGGGTTTTGAATTTTGGTTTTTGGTTTTATCTTTTTATATTTAGTAACCAATATTATATTATATTTAGATTAAATTTGATTAATTTTAATATTTTATAATAAAATTTGATTTTTAAATATATGTACCATTAGTATTAGTTTTTTTTTTCTTTTTAGTACATGTATTAGAGAGTTAGTTATTCGATATTTTAGAGTTTTAAATATTTAACTTTATTGAATACAAGTTCTTATTGGTACGTGTTATTTATTAGTTACTAAATATAAAGTATCTGAGAACTAAAAATCAGAATTCAGAACTCAACTTAATGGAGCCTAAATCAGTAGAGCGTAAATCAGTAGATGTCTGTTTTCCCTTCTAACTTCCTATATCTCCTCAGCAAATGGCCGACGCTAGAAACTGAAGAGGAGATTTAGAGCAAAATTACAAGTGACAACTCACAATCTAGGTTTAAAATGAAGGGGAAGAGGAAGAAATAATAAAAATAAAATGATGTTATAAATTTATAACATGATATGATATATTATATAATTAATTATTTTTGTTTGAGAGTTTACATTTTATATATATTTACCTATTTAATGATATATTATTATTATAAAACTACAATTTTATCTAATATACACTATAACTTTAGCATTGGCGGAGAAATAAAGTTTAATTGGAGAATGGGAAGGAAAGCTGGAAAAGAAAGAAAGGTTGCTTGGAGAAATGGGAACAAAAGCCAGACATGAAACGAGGTTTTGTGGAAGAAGACTCCAGAAGCTTGTAAAAAAATCAGAAAATCACAATATTAAAATACTAATTAGAATCACCTGAGATAATTTTATTTCATGTAATGAACGTCATCTAGCCAGGCCGGTTCCGGAACAACATTAAACTTGAAAATAAACAATTCTCCCAGCAAAGCAAATCACCCGTGCGGCCAGGTGGTCACAGTTCTTTTTTAGAAATAATGTCATCCCTGGTTATATAAAATTCAAGTTTCAGGTTTAATATATACTTCCTCATTTCATAGTTTGCTACTTAAAAAATGAAAAAATCAATTCACCACCCAGCATGACTCATACCAATCTGTCATGTTTTGTTTCTTGAGACTGGTTTTCAATCATCCAATGTGTCCATCTCAAGCCAAATATATATATATATATATATATATTTTTCTTTTCTAGCTTTCGCGCGAGTGAATGTGTTTTGAACGGTGTTGAACGATTAAAGAACATCATGAAGAATGGTGATCCTTCAGTCTGGCCAATCTGGGCAATTAATGGCGTAATGAACAGCATGACAAAATCAACACTCCGTCAGCCCACATTCATTCAGCCAGAGGCAATCTCTAGGTTGTGCACCTATTTATGTCCTGTCTTGGGTGGCTTGGAGGGGGATCGGGATCCATTACTTCAAAGCTACTTGGATACCTCCTGTATGCTACTTGCTAGCAATCCTACGATGCAGTTCAGGGAAGAAAGAGACACTTTTGGTCCTATCCTTGTTCCCAGTGAAAAGTTTGCCTTCAAATCTTAAGCTTTCCTCTTTACAATTTTTTGCCTTTTAATCTCTGTAATGTGCATATAAGGTCAGTTTTTAAGTAGTTATATTGCTCTTCAGCAAGAAAAGTTTACAACGATTCAAAGCCTTAGTGATGTTACAGGTTATGGGGAGCTCAAACTCAGAGATCATTGCAGAACTTTGAAATTGGCGGTCAGCGTGAAAGGTTGCCAGAACCTATCATTTGTGCCTTCGGCATACTCAAGAAATGTGCTGCCAAGGTCTTTTTTCCTCTTAAACAATTTTTTTTACTGTAGTGGTGGATTGATAATTAAAATCCAAAATTGTTAATAACTTATTCTTCTTTTGCAGGTGAATATGGAATATGGTCTAGACCCCTCCATTGGAAAAGCCATAATGCAAGCAGCACAAGAAGTTGCCGAGGGGAAGCTAAATGATCACTTTCCCCTTGTCGTATGGCAAACTGGAAGTGGCACTCAAAGTAACATGAATGCCAATGAGGTCAGTGCAGTTTTCCTATACCGCAATGCTATTCATCTTGTATTGTTTTAAAACTCATGCTTCAAGGACCTATGGACTTTAGCTTTCAAAAGAACTTAGTTTGTATGATTTTCAGGTAATTGCAAATAGAGCTTCCGAGATCCTTGGTCATAACCGTGGTGAAAAATTTGTTCACCCAAATGACCATGTGAACAGATCTCAATCTTCGAACGATACATTCCCAACTGTAAGTGTGACTTAGATATCATATAATTAGTCAACTTCTTTTATTTTCGTGATTTGGATTATAATTTATATTAGTTGAGCCATTTGTGTAAACCTTTCGATGTTATTCTTGGTTAGTTTCTTGCTTTTGCTGTCTATTTACTAGTTTCACGGTGTCTTTGTTCAGGTAATGCACATTGCAGCTGCGATGGAAATAAACTCAACGTTAATTCCAAACCTGAAAACTTTGCATGCTACACTGCATTCGAAGGTTTGACGCTTCTTTTTGTTTTTCATGTGTATGATATATTAGATGTATTACCTTTTTGCAATGTACAAACTTAGACTGAAGATGAAAATTTGGTTTTGTTGTTTCCGTTAGTCTGTTGAGTTCCAAGACATTGTTAAAATTGGGCGCACTCACACCCAAGATGCTACACCCTTGACCTTGGGACAAGAGTTTAGTGGCTACACTACACAAGTAAGCTTTCATTTCCGTGGCATTTGCTTTCCTTTTCTCCTTGGTTAGTAGATGGCATGGTTTTGAAGCAACAGGAAAACATGAGATTATATGAAGTGATTTCTAACTTTATGCTTTATTTTCAGGTTAAGTACGGGATTGATCGAGTCTTGTGCACTCTTCCTCGCTTGTATCAGGTTGGTATCATATTTTTAATGCAAATTATTGCTTTTAACCTTCCCTCTCCTGCTTTCACTCGGCTTCTAACAGATTAGAAATTTCATTTGAGCAGCTTGCTCAAGGTGGCACTGCTGTGGGAACTGGACTAAATACAAAGAAAGGGTATGCATGACTATGGTTTTGAGGCATTTACTTATTTGGTTTTATCTGTGTCAGTTCTACCGGATGCATCATGCGTGCACCATCTATTATTTGTTTTGTCCAAGAATTTTATTGGTCATGCCTCCCTTTCCATGTCACGTTGTCTTTCAATATTTTATATTCAAAGGGAGTCATTCATGGTAACATTATAGTTAAAATGACATGTA